CCACAGAGTTGGAAATACTTCCGTCTACGGTGTGACGGGGCCCTCAGTAAGCACTCATCTGTGGGCCACCCATGAGAACTCAGAATGTAACGTCAAGAACGGATAACCAAGCCTGCATTCTGGTCTCAACCCCATCATCTTCAGCGCTGTCTGACGGCCAGGGGTGTGAGGCAGCCATGATGACCTCCAGGTGACAAGAGCCGCCTCTGAACCCCAGGGACTCGAGGCCTAGGCCCACCCAGGCAGGGCAGTGAGCTGTAGGGCTCTGCTCTCGGCCCCTCCCTGCATACCTGCGGGGCCTGCCTCAGGAGGGCCTGCCCTGCAGCTCTGTTCTGCAGACAAAGGCTAAGCAATGCTCTTCCAGAAGGACTGAGATAGCAGCCTGTCCGGAGTCCCAGGCCCAGGCACCAAATCACTCGTCACAGTGAAGGTGGGCAGTGGGAGGGTAGCGGATAGCCCCAGCGTCTGGAGGAGGGGGCACCCAAAGCTGAGCTCTGCGGGCAGCTGTGGAAGGGTCTCTGGGAGAAGAATGTGGGTGTCTGGCAGCCAGGGGCTTTCTGAGCACAGGCAGACTGGAGGGGCAGGGGTGGTGGCTGCTCTGGGTTGGGCTGAGGGCTTCCTAGACACAGGGAATCAGGGCAGGGAGAGTAAGTGCAAGCTGGGAACAGACAGGGCCAGGGACACTGAGCTCAGAGGGGCTGGGGTGGGGGGACAGCAGTCAGCATGGAGGTAATGGGGTGGACCAGGGACCAGTAAGTTGGGAGGCTGAGAGGTTCGGCCGGGCGCAGGGGCTCGGAAGCCACATGTCACAGGGCAGGGGGACTGGAGGGGTCACTCGGCTTGGAGAGCACAAGGAGACACACAAGGGATGCTTGAGAGTCCCTGAGTCCTGGGACTGACAAAAGCAGGTTGGGGAGGGGCGTGTCCAGGGCTGCCAGGGCTGTGTGTCTGGGGGCTGATAAGGGCGGAGGGAACCCTGAAACTCAGGTTTCAGGGGACTGCCAAGGTTGAAAGGGGCTGACAGAATTAAGGGGACCATGACCCCTGTGTCTGGGGACACGGCCTGAGGACCGCTGACCCCCACATCTTAGACTCATGGGGCCCAGGCAAAACTCTCTTTCTAGTGCTGGCAAAGCCCAGGACACCCCAACCCTGTGTGTGGGGCTCCCAGGGGAGCGGGGCCCCCTTCTGATCGCTAAGTCCTAGGCGACCCTCTGTCATGGGCTCCCAGGGCCCCAGGTGACCCTGATCCCCAAATGCTGTGCAGATGGGGCCCTGGACCCATGACCCCCAGGTCACTCCGACCCTGTGTGCTGAGCTGTCAGGTCACCCCAGCCCTGCGCGGGTCCGGCCCAGGGTCCCCACTCACCTCTGGCGCTGCATGTCCAGCCCGAGTCCCAGGCCGAGGCCGAGGCTGGCGGGCGCGGGGCCGGGCGCCGGGCTGAGCAGGCCCTGGGGCGCCGCCGCCCTGCCCGCCGGCCCGGGCAGCCCTGGAAGGCCGGCGGGGGGCGCGGGCGGCGGCGGCGGCGGCGGGGCCCCGCGGGCGGGGGGCTCGGGCCCCGGGGGTCCTGGTGGTCCCGGCGGCGGAGGCGGCGGCGCGGGCGGCTCGCGGGCCTCGGCGGGCGGCGGCGGCGGCGGCGGCGGGGGTTTCTCTCCGCCCGGGCCCAGGCTCGGGGGCCGGCCGTCCAGGGAGATGTTGTTGAGGAAGAAGAGCGCGGCCTGGCGGCGCCGCGAATCCCCGCGCCTTCGGAGCGCCTGCGGCGGGGCCCTGGCAGCGGGGCCGGGGCCGGCGGGCGGCGGGGCCCTGGCAGGGCCGGGGCCGGGGCCGGGGGCCGGGCCCTGGGCTCCACCCGCCGCGGCCGCGGCCATCCTCCGACTGAGCCCGCCGGCCGCCCGCCGCCACCGCCCCACCTGCGCGCACGCGCCCGCGCACGCCGCCCATTGGCCGAGGCTCGCCCACATGCAAATATATTGCCGTCGCGCTTACCCATTGGCCCGCGCGGTGCCGTGGGCGGGCCGCGGAGTTCCGGGGCGGCTCCCCTGGGTCCTAGAGGCGGTTCTGCTGCGCCCCCGGGGAGCGGGAGACCGGCGCCGCGGGGCACTCCACCCCACGGGGCCTGGCCGGGGGCCCAGCGGCGGCGCTGGCCCAGGTTCGAATCCCCGCCTCGGAAGCAGCGGCTACGGGGCCGCCGGCGCCCGGTTCTCCTTGCGGGGCTGCGGCGTTCATGGTCAGCCTCCGCGCAGCCTGAGTCTTTAGGCTCCAGTGCACGTCTCCTGTGGGGTGGGGGTCAGTGCTAGCGGCTGGGGCGCGGGGTGGGGGGCTGAAGCCGTGCCGCCTGCCCTCTGGGGGGGGCGTTCAGGTTGCAAAGGGCCATCCCCTCGAGGAGCCCCTAAGACTCCCTGGAATGGCGGGCGGTGCCGCCTGGCTTCCCTCGCTGACTGAAGAAGACACCGAGGGTCTGAAGGGAGAAGGCACCTGCCTGGAATCACCGGCAGGTCGGGGCCGTGCTGGGCCTTCAGTCCCAGGCAGAGTCTTGCACTGCCCTCAGCAGCAAAGTGACATTGAGCCTTGGTGCTGCCTAGGCCTCCTTTCCCTCTCCTGTACCCAGGTGCCCCTGACTTCAGAGCAGGTGGCTCCATGCTCAGGTGCTGCTTCTGGAGCCCCCAGGAGCCCACCTGTGTCTTTGCGGGGCAGGGTCCTGCCGCCACCTCTAGGCCACTCTTCTGGTCTGCCCAGCTTTCTGCCTGGGCACTCCGTGAGTGGGCATCCCCAGGCTGCAGGTCTGGGCACCTGCTGGTGGGCTCGCCCACACAGCTCAGAGAGCACTTCCGTGTGTGGCCGCTCAGCACACGCCATTACCCCGCGTGTATTCTGTGCCCATGCTGGAGAGGGTGTGGGGCGGGGCGGGGCGGGGCAGACGCCAGGAGACAGAGCTTCCTGTCCCGAGTGAGGCCGACTGCATGGCCGGGCTCCCCTTTTGGACGCCATACCCCCCTTCATAGTGGCCGTGTCCCCTCCTACTGATCTTCATTTGCCACCATGCGTAGGCTCACCCAGTGTCCAGCCTGACCTCTTTCCTCTCCCCTCTGCCCTTCCAAATTGGTCTTCAAAGCCTCTCCCATGCCTGGGAGGGAGTGGACAGTTTCCCATCAGGTAGAAAGTGGGGCTTGAACACGTGCCTCCAGGTGCTCATGGGCACGAGAACTGCACTCTGAAGGCCCCTCTCGGGGAGTCCCTGTGCCCACTGATGGTGCCCTCTGCCGCTGCTGCCTGCCGATGCACAGGGAGCAGGGAGCTAAGAGCCTCAGCTCCAGCTTCAGCCTCCTCGGCCACCTGCCAGCTGGGTGACCTTAGGTGAGTTACTTACCCTCCCTGAGCTTCAGCTTCTCTGTCTGTAAAGTGGGGGTGCTAGCTGTGTGTGCCTCGTGGGGTGCTGCTAAGGGAGGAGTGAGACCAGGGCTGTAAAGTGCTGTGCCCAGGGGATCATGGAGGGGCAAAGTGACAGAGGAGTGTTATCTGCTCTTGCTTCTCGGCTCCACATCCATGCTTGTCTGCAGCATGGTGACAGAGCTGGGCCCTGGAGTGTTGTTTCTCCTTTGCCAGTTGGCGCTGAGTGACGTTTTGAGGGTGGTGGGGGGACCCCAGGAGGAACGTGGTCTTCTTGCAGGGTCTGTTGTGCACTCTCCCTGGGCTCCCACCCCATGTGGCTTCTCCACTGCCCAGGGTACCCCTGAGCCAGCCCTGGCCTACAAGTCAGATGTGAATGGAGCACCCAGCTTTTATTTGATTTCAGGAAAATTAAAGCAACTTTTAACAGGAGGTTTCACACACACTTACACACAAACATGCACATACACACCCCTACACCTCTCTCTTGGGAAATTAGTCCCTTTGGGGTTTGGGCCGGCCACAGGGAGCAAGGCGGAGTGGTGTTCCCATGGTCCGGCCTGTGCTTCCAGTTTGCCCCAGGCCTCACCCAGCCCAGTTATTGCCCGGTCTCCTGCCTTTGTCTTGCATCGGGCAGTTCTTAGATTTCTCAAACTTCATGTGCAGGTGTGACCCCAAGACCTGGATTCAGTGGGTCTGGGATGGGGCCCGGGAACCTGCTTAAGCTCCTCTCACAGAGGGTGCTCTGAGACACACCCTCCGGAAGTGAGAATGGTTGAGGGAGCAGGATATCCCTGAGCGCTAAGGGTCAAGTCCTGGGCCAGCTGCCCTGGGGCCCTGCAGGTGGCCGAGCGGTCGGCGGCAGATGTGGGGCCAGGGCCTCAGGAGTAGCCAGTGAGGAGGGGACTCTGTGGGGGGACTGGTACACATTTCCTGTTCTTTTCCCTGCAGCCCTGCCCAGAGGTGCCCCTCTGCAAACGGGGCTGGTTTTGTTCCTCAGGACTGGATGCATCCCAGGGTCTCTCAAATCATCTGCGGAGGCAGGTGGAGACCCAACTGACCCCTGAGTCTGCCAGCCGAACATGCCATCTTTGACACCTTTGATCCTGGGTGTCCCATCTCTGCTGGGGTGCCCCACACCCTCACCACCCAGCGTGTTTGCGGGACTCCACGAGGGGGCGCCTGAGACCACAGGGACGGGGTGGCCAGGCAGCAGGGCCCTGGGAGTCAGGGAGGCCAGTGGAGTTTGCGATGGTGAGAGGTGGGGGCAGCCCAGGAAGGGTTGCCTATAAGCAGCCAGGGTGGGGGCTGGGCTGGGCTGGGGTGCAGCCGGAGTCACCCCTGCCTCCCCTGCCTCCCCGAACCCTACTTCCCCCAAGGGAGCAAATGCTAGGGTGTGGGAGGGGCAGCAGGACCAGCTGGTCATTTCTGAGATGGGTAGAGATGGAGGGGTTCAAATGACCAGCCAAAGGCCCCCTCTTGGGCTTCCCAGCCCCTGTGGCCACAGGCCAGGACCCAGTCCCCTCCTGCTCTGTGCTGGGCCGTCTGCCGGGCTGGTGGCCAGGTGGGAAGCCATGTCTGGGCAGGCTGTGGTGCCCCTGGGAGCAGCCTGCTAAGTCTCCTCCCAGCTGCTGTTGCTGGGTGAGGGGCTGCTGTCCTCAGGGTGCCTTGGGCTCCCGGGCCCCTCGTGTGCTGTCAGGGGCTCCCCTGGATTCCTTCTTGCCGGTGGCGGCTTCTTGGGGGCTGTGGAGAGTGGAGCAAGGTTAGGTGAGAGCACAGCAGTAGGCTGGCAGCAGTCGGTTCTCACTCACTGCGATGCGGAGTTCTTGCCCAGGGCCTCGTGGACAGGATTTGGGCGAGGGGAGCGAGCACTTGTGAACCCACACTGGTGGAGGTGACTTGTTCCTGGAAACAGGAGACACCGGGCAGGGCTGGTCTGATTGAAGGGTGAGCGTGGGCACCTGGCGGGAGGGTGGGCTCTCTGCGGGCGTGTGACCCTGCAGACCATTGGCCCCAGTGCCCGAATGCCTTGCTGAAGGTCCGGGACCTTCTGGATAAATCGAGCTTCTGGGGAAATGCTCTTAGGGTGCCCAAGGCCCTGGTGGGGTGCCTCCATGGGCCTAGGGTACAGGGGAGGACCCTTGGAGGCAGGTCCTGCTGAGATGCTGGGCCCTAGGCCCATCTCTGATGCAGAACGAGCTCAAGTTCTGGGTCAGAAGAGTCAAGCAGGAATCCTGACCCCAGGCACCAGCTCTGTGAGCTTGGGCAGGTCGTCTCACTTCTCTGAGGGCTAGTTTTCCCAGCTATGAAATAGTAATGACCATTCCTGGGCAGGGTGGTGAGCCCCAAAGGCAGTGGTTACTGTTGATCTCCACCTTGAACCTCTGCACGGGCGCTGCCCTTGGCGCTGAGTGGTGCCAGCCACAGGCTGGGTCAGGGCCCTGTTCTCACTGGCCAGCAGCGTGTGTGTTGCAGCGTTCGGGTGCCTGCTTGGGAGCCCCTGTCTCGGCCTAGCGGGGAGGACCGGGGAGAGCTTGGCTCTGAGGGGGGCGGCGGATGCCCAGCACCCCTGTGGACTGTGGCCACCAGGACAGTTTCCCAGCATGCCCAGCAGGAAGTGGCTTGAAATAAGACAGGTGTGCTGGCCTCCTCCACCGTGTGCTCGAGCAAACACAGGCCACTGTCACTTTCCCGGCAACAATGGCATATTGTGGTGGCCACAGTCCAGCCTGCCTGTCGCGGGCCCGCTTGCACAAACACTGGGGCGGCATCCATTAGGAGCTCGGGCCTTCACAGGCGCCTGGCGCCCTGCGGAGCTGCCTCTGCGGCCAGAGCAGGAAGCGGAAGGTCGCGCTGATCCCCTCAGGCCAGTCCGCTGCCCTACGGGGAGGAGCCCACAGGCACCACCCTTGGCAAACATCTGAGCAGCCCCCAGTGCCTCAGCCGGAGCAAACACCTCCACACCCAGAGGGCAGCACCCTCCTGCTGCTCCTCTTCGAAGGTGGATGGGGGTCCAGGAGTCCCCCCACCACGAGGGACGGGCAGAGTGGCAGGGCTTCAGGGCCCCCAGGCCTGGGGGCTGCTTGTGGCCCAAGAGGCCCCTCCGCCCTGATGGCAAGGACGGTGAGAACCACTGTCCTCAGCCTTAGTCCGTGGAAATCTCACGCTAGCCCTGGTATTGCCCCCCTTTCTGGGGGGAAACTGAGGCTCAGGTTGACGGGACTGGCTTGGGCTGCACAGTGAGGCTGAGAAGAGCCAGGATTCACGCTGTCCTGACCTGGGTCCCTCCTCTTAAGGGGTCTGTGCCAGGAGAAGTTCAAGGGCTGGTTTCTGGTTCCTAGCAGCCAGAAAGGTGGGGTGGGAGCATGGTGTTTTGGCTGCCCCCGGCCCCCCATGGCCCCGTCCGCCATACCTTTGCACCATGGGCCCGAGGGCCGCTTCCTCTTCTGCAGCAGCCCTCGCCCGCACTCCTTGGTGCAGGAGCACCTGGACCCCTCCCCTGGCGTGCTCGGCTTGGCCCCCACCTCGGAGCTCAGGCCCACCTGAGGGGTGTGGGGGTGTGGTCAGGAGAGGACCTTCCCCCAAGCCTGGGGCAGCCCTGGCTCAGTGGCCCCAGCTGAGTGTGTGGCTGAGGACCCACCTCATTGTCCGAGGGGTCCAACTCGTCCAGCTCATCTGACTCCAGCCCTTGCACTTGGGCCTTGCTGAGTTCTGCAGGACGCAGGGTGTGGGTCAGGCCAGGCTGGGGGCCCTGGAGCCTAGCAGAAGCATAGACCTTTCTAATGGGCCAGGCTAGGAGTGACAACTGAAGGAAACTGAGGCACAGAGGGACTGTACCTCAGCGTCTCCCGTACCTTCTGCAATGACCCTGCCAGCCGGGCTGTCCCCAGGCTTGGTCACTCTGTGACGGGGAGCTCACTACCTGCCCTGAAGCCCTAATTGCTAGGATGCCCTTCCCTTCACTGCCTATGATCAGAGATGTGCCTGCCCTGGGCCCCCACCTCTTCTCTGGGTCTGTAGCTGGGGTGCCAAGCCCTAGACCCAGGGTTTGGCGGGGCAGCCCAGGGGACTGAGCTGGGCCCTAGGACAGGTCCCCCCAGCTGATGCTGACCACTGCCCCTCCCTTCCCACTATGGCACCACTTCCTGGGTTCTCAGGGCCCCAGGTACTCACCCTTACCTGGGGGGCCATCAGCATCAGGCCTGTGTGGGTTGGGGGGAGATTTTGGCTTCCCTCTCCCCTCAGCTCCCGTCCCGCTTGGAGAGGGCATGTTTGGGTGGGGCCATGTTAGAGGTTGGGAGGGATCCTGGGGGGAAACAAGTAAGCGGCTTGAATTCACCTGAGGCAACTGCCCTGCTTCCAACCCAGTGTTGGGAAAGGCGGTGAGACTCTGGCTCGGCCCAGGCTGCCGCTGGAGGGTTAGTCATCTCCCCTCTAGTGCGAATCAGGCTTTCTCCCGGGGACCGGCCTGATGGTGCAGAGGGAAGCACAGCCCGGGCCCTGGCGGGGTGCTGGCCCGGGCTGGGGGCATGTGGAGGCCAAGAGCAGGGGTGGGCCCCTTACTGCAGGAGCGGCGGGCCCTTCTGGCTCTGGAGCTCTGGCTTCCTTGGTACCGTTGCTGAGTCCCCGGGGTCCAGACCGGGCAGGTAGCTCCACTCCCTGAGGTGGCGCCAGGCTGGGAGTGTGGGCACTCGGGGGGCTGAGGGACCCCGGCCGGCCCCGGCCCCGCTCGGAGAGGTCCAGGGGCTTGTCTGGGACATAGTCTCGTGTGGCCCTGTCTTCCTGTCCCCTGGGGCTGCCTGGGCCTGTGGGCTGTGTGTGCCCCCCTCCGGACAGGGCTGCTTCGGCCGCCTCGCCCTGGGGGCCTTCCGAGTCAGAGCTGACTGGTGGGGAGGGTGGGGTCCCTGCTGGCGTGGGCGGGCCCCTCAGCCTGGCACTGCCCACCTGCCCCTGTGCCCGCAGCTGCTGGGCCAGGAGCAGGTGCAACGCTCCTTTTAGCCGAGGGTCTCGCACGTCCACCAGGGCCCCTGGCAGCCCCAGCAGGCCCACCGGCTCATCCCAGGCCTCTGCCTCCCCAGCCTTCGGGCCCTGGGGCCGGGGGCCACGGGGGGCTGTGGCGGGGACTTGGGGGCTGCAGTGGGGGCTCTGAAGGTGCAGAGACAGGTGATGGTTCAGGAGGCACAGGTGGTCAGCCTGGAGGGAGCGCTTCAGGGACTCATAGGCCGTGGCGGGGGGCCGGGAGGCCCGCAGAAAGCTGCAGGATGAGGAGAAGCTCAACTCCTGTGGCCCTGGGTTAGCCCCCACTTCACAGGGGAGGGCCTGGGGCCTATAGGCGAGCTGTCCCAGGTCACAAGGTGGGTCGTGGAGAGGGGTAGGCCCACGTGGACGGTTGTGGAGGGGCCAGAGGTGACCCGGGGCCTGGGGCTCTGAGGAGGGACCTGCACATGGAGATCTTTCTCTCTTCGGGGCCTGGGCTACCTGCTCTGTTCCCGGCCACCTGTGTACGATGCTCTCAGACACGGAGGATGGTCTTAGACTACTTCTGAGAGGGGTTCCTTGGCCTCAGTCCCCATTGCTGCTCCCATACCCCCCCGAACTCTGTCCTGCCACCTCTGGAAAGGTGGGACCAGATCTGGAGACTGGGTGCTCAGCTGGGGCTGCTCCTGGTGGTGGCAGTGGGTGGGGCCTCACCTGTCCAGTGGGAGGCTGTGCTCATAGGGTGGGCTGGGCGGGCTGCTCCTGGTCAGTGGCAGTGGGGGTGTCCCGTTGGTGGAGCCCCGGTCAGCGAAGCAGGCCTGGGAGCCCGGCCGCACCACGGCGATGGTCCCGTGCAGCTGGTTGGAGATTCGCTGGGGGCTCTGCACGGGGTGGAGGGGTCAGCGCGGCCCTCTGCCCTGTTCTCTGTTGACTTCAGGCAGGTCACCCACCCCCTCTGAGCCTCGCCGCCACCCAGTGGTCCCTGCATGGCACAGAGGACAGGTGAGCTGGCATAGACCTGGGTTGCCCGCCTCCCGCCTAGGGCTGCCCAGCAGAAGGGGGTCCTCACCGTGTCCGGGGCCCGTGTCTCTGGCAGGCTGGCACTCGGGGAGATTTTGGCTACTGGAGATGTCCTGTACCCCGTAGACTTTTCTGTGGGAGGAGAAGTGGTGGGCAGGGCAGATTGGGAGGCCCTCAGAGGGGTGGGCGGCTCGGCCCCCTGCCCCCCCACCCCGGGCCAGAGGGCTCTGTGATCCTGCAGGGCCCAGCTTTCTGGTCTCTTGTCCCTCAGAGCACCTTCTCTCTGGGGACTCGAACCTGGATGGTCGTCCTCGGCCTCCTCGTGGCCTCCCAGCGTCTTCTCCGCGATGGCCTTCCAAGCCCCCGGGGAGGGGAGTAGTAGGGGTGAGGGGGGGTCTGAGGCACCCTCCCTGTATTGGGGCTTGAGCCTAACTCCAGAAGGGAGGCAAAGACAGGGAGGGTGAGCGAGGGCAGCACCCCCCAGAGACAATCAGAAGGGCCAGGGCACCCTCCTGGGGGCCAGGCCAGCCCTGCGGGGACACTGGGGTGACCAGGAAAGAGCCCTCTCTGGACTTTGCCTGGGGCTCCACCATCAGTGGCTCATGCGGCAGGGCTGGCTTCTCACAAATACCAGTGTCCTCAGGGGGGTCTCGGGTGTCAGCTGCCACGGAGCTGGGGCCCCCACCCCCACGGTTCTGTGCCCTGCTCTCGGCGCCATGTGCCCGGGGCCTGCCCTGGGGAGGGCCTTGGCGACTGAGGGTGTTCGCCTCCCCGCTCACCGCGGGCCCCGAAGCCGCTTCACTTCCTCTTTCAATGCCTCGTTCTCCAGCTGCAGCCGGTTCAACTCGTTGGCTGCAAAAGGCTCTGATTAGTGAAGGACGAGGGGAGGGGAGGCCGGGCAGGGGCAGGGAGGTCCCCCTCTGTGACCTGTCCCCAGCCGGCCGCCAGCACTTGGCCCGGGGCTCGCTGGCGGTGGCTGCACGAGTGAATGGGTGAGGCTGCTGAGCCTGGAGGCCGTAAAGGGTGGTGGGAGCCCTCCCACCCCCCCACCTCTGACACCAAGCTTGTCTCTGGTGAGAGCCCCAAGGGAAGGGGGGCTTGTGCTCCTCATCGGCAGGTGGGACCTCCGGGCTCTGCGGGACTACCCTCATTACAGGGGGGAGGGGTTGAGGTCCTGAGGGCAGGGGCACCCCCAGCCCAGGTGAATGACCGGTGAGGGACATGCTGGGGCCAGCTGGGGCTTTGTACCATTGTCTGTTTCCCCGAGACCCCATGTCAGGCTGAGCAGGTCCTGGGGGTCACTGGACCCCCACAGGAGGGGACACCGAGGTGCAGGGTGACAGGGGGCGGGGCTCACTGAGGATGAAGACTTGCTGTAGGTTTTGGAGGAGGGAGTTCTCGAACTCCTGCTGCTTCTTCCTGGCCAGCTCCTGGGTGACCATGCAGCGGTCACACAGGCCGGCCCGCAGCCTGCGGGATGGGGGCGGGGGGCGGGCGGTGAGAGGCCACTCTGAAGAGTGAGACTGAGGCCCACAGAGGGGCTGGGACCCTCAGCGCCTGCTCCCGAGATGTGCCCTTGCCATTCCCAAATGGTGGAAGCCCCACCCCACCCCTACCCTGTGGGCTAAGCGCGCCATGTTCCGCCGAGTTTGGGAAGGAGCCTCGCAAATGCAGTTGACCTGAGGCTCTGAGAGTTCCGCAGGGGCGGGGGGCGGGGGGAGACCCCTGCCTCGTTCAGTTTGCCCCAGAACTTCCCGAGCTCCGCCTCCCCCCAATCCAGAGCTCACCTGTTCGCCTCCCCCCCCACCCAGAGCTCACCTGTTCGCCTCCCCCCCAATCCAGAGCTCACCTGTTCTCCAGCACCCGCACATTCTCCTTCAGCGCCTTCTGCTGCTCCCTAAGCTGATGGTTCTTGGCGCAGAGCTCCTCCACCCTCTGGGCGTCCCTGTGGGGATGAGCCGAGGTGGGGGTTCTGCTCTGCCCGGGAGCCCCACGCTGCGTCCGGGCTGGCCTCGCCCACCAGAGTAGGTCCCGGCCCGGGGCCTGCTGGGTGCGCCCGCTGTGGGGACTCCCTGGCAAGGGCTGCGTGGAACCAGCAGCCCAGTCGTGAGTGTGACCGGCCGGGTCCACGCGCTGCTCGCAGTGCTACAGAACTGCAGCCCCGTAAGTGAAGTGGGGAGAGAGGGGCCACCCCACTGGCCGTGGGGCCTCCCAAGGAGCATTCCTACTGATCACTGTTGGTAGCCCAGGTGGCCACCCCCTGGAGAGTCCCCATTCACTCGGGTGGGCTTGGAGGTTCCATTCCTGGCTCCACCTGCTACTGGAGGCATGGCCTCGGGCCAGTGATCACCCCCAGCCCCCACACTGAGCCTCAGTTTCCCCTTCTGCATCACTGTCTTTCCCGCTGAGCCAGGGTCTGTCCGGACTCACCGGCATCTCTCCGAGTTCAGCTCCAGAAGCTTATTCTGCAGGCCTGGAGGAGCCAGGGAAGGGGTTGGGGTCAGGCCCGGTCCCGCAGCAGAGTCCGGGGCACCTCCTGTCCCTGGCTGTCTGGCAGGCCTCTCCGCAGAGCCCCCTCACAGATGCCCCAAGGCCACCCCACCTGAGGGGCTCCTGCCGCATGCCCCCTGGCAGCTTCCACCTAGTCTCATGGCTGTCTGGGACCCCTTGCGGTCTGGCTCTGGTGTCTGCCTGGAGGTTGGGAGGGACCCTGACACTGGGAGTGACCGGCCACCGGGCCATGTTCCGGAAGTGTGTTTTTGGGGAGGCACAGCAGGGTTGAAATAAAGCAGGCTCTTTGGGGAAACTGCAGCGAGAGGTTGCCTCTTTGCCACCTGGTCGCCCTCGGACGCGGGCCTGCTAGCCCACACAGCCCCCTGCGTCGCTGGGCCTCTGGGTCGCTGGGGAAGAGATCCAGGCCCTTTGGCCCTCAGGGTGGTGTGTCAGTGCTGGGAAGAGGTGCTGGGAGGGTCTGGCTGGCTCTAGAGTGGGGGGAGTGGGGTGGCTCCAGCCCTGTGGTTAGGGGGTGGAATGCACAGCGTGGGGGCTGTGGCAGAGCTTGGCCTGGGGGTCCTGCAGGGAAGCAGAGGGATTTCAGCTCAAAACCCTGGAATGCTCTGAACAGGCCTCCAGAGCCATGAGCTCCCATTTCTAGAGGTGGGCAACCGAGCACCCCCCTGCCCCACCCTGGGCGAGGGGCCCATCTCAGCCAAAGCTTCTGGCTCTCCGCTGGGGGCATGGCTTTTAATTTCTGCTCTGCTGTCAGTGGACCCTTTGGGAGAAGACCCTCCAGGGCCACACTCAGGGATGCCAATCTGCGGCTGGGCGCCTGGCTATGTGGCAGCTCTGGGCTCTGGGTTAGGACTCCCTGTCTGGGCCGGGAAGGCAGGGTCCCCAGGTCTGGCAAGAATTGGAGGTGATCTGGAGGAGCACCCTGACCGGGCCCAGGTGAGGGCTAGGGACACCTGCCCCCACCCGGCCCCATGACACTCACCTCGGACCTCGTTCTCGTGGACCTCCTTCAGCCTGTTTAGTGACTCTGTGAAGCTCTCCATGGCTCCCTACGGCTCTGGCCCAGACCCCTCTGAGGCTCCTCTCGGCCTCTACTGCCCCTCTGTTCCCAGCCTGGGGAGGAGGAAGTGGGGAGAGGTCATGCTGGCTTGGGAAGGGTCTGTGGGCTCTAGGGCCCCATACGGATGCGCATGCAGACACAGATCTGTAGAGACACCAGCCTCATCTGCTCAAGGAAGTGGGCCCTGTATTGAGAGGCTGCAGGGCTCCCAGGAGGGGGCGGGAACCCCTCTGCAGAGAGGCCACTGATTGCTGACCCCTTCCCCCCTCCCCACAGGTCCTCAGAGGCACCTAAGTGGGTCCTACACACCCTGAGGTCCACTGCCTGAGACCAGAATTAAGGGGCCCGGAAGCCTGGGGCCTGGGCACCCTGGCCCTTACTCCCTTCCAGGCCTTTCTGAGACTCTGCCAGCCCGGAGAGGTCTCGGGCAGGCAGGCAGTTGGGAGCAGTGAGCTCACAGGGCTGTGGGCTCCCACTCCCTCCCCACCTCCCCTCCCCGGCCACTGCCCCTGTGGCGCAGATGGGTCCCGGGCCTGGCCTACAGTGACTCCAACACCCGTGGGATGTGCTGTTACCCTGAGCTGCTGGCCACACGGAGAGCCCTTCTGGGGAAGTCTCTGTCCCGGCTCCTTGAGAGGAGGGGGCGCTGCCATGGCTGGGGCGGGCGCCGGCCCCCACGCCCAGACCTCTGCCCCGGGTGCCCTTCGCTCGGGCGGCATGCATGCACTGTGTGTGTGTGTCACACGGGTGTGGTGCGAGTGTGTGCACATGCGTGTGCTCTACGTGTGCTGCATGGTGCTGAGGCCCCAGCTCTCCTTCTGCCGTGTTCACCTCGGGTCTGAGTAATTGTGGTGCTCATGCCGACCCTGGCCTGCGCTGACCGAGGCTGAGCTGAAGCCCTCCGTCCCCACCGCAGGGCCCATGCTCTGAGTCTCTCAAAAGACAGTGGGGCTTGTCCTGGCCCGCCTGGGCCGGAGCTTACACTCTTCCTCTCTGATGTCACCACCGGCCGGGGGAGGTGGTCCCTTCTGGTCCTCGGCCCGAGGAGCCCTGGGGTCTGCTGGGTCCCGCCAACAGGCGGCGGGGCTCCTAGCCCTCCCGGCCGCTTGCCTGCTGGCATCCTGCACCCACCGGCCAGCAGTGACTGTTGGTTGCTTCCTACGTCCACCCAGACCTCACCTTTCCCTCCCCTGCCACACCTGCCAGGGCCCAAGCCACCCCCTTTCGTGAGGACACGCTCTCAGCCCAGTGGCGGTGCGGGCCCCGGAAGGCCTCTGCTCACACCTGCTCGAGGCCCCATCCCTGCAGGCTGGGCCCGAGTCCCGCTGTGGCTGCCCAAGGGAGCGCGCTCTCCTTTGAATTTCAGTTTGCCCTGAAGATGTGCCCGCAAGTGCTTGCAGCAGGACTCTGAGAACAGCCCCGACCTGGGAACCCCCGCATGCCCCTGCTAGTGGCCTCTGCTGGGAGGAGTGACTGCTCCCCGCCCCCAGGGACTAGCACACGGTGACACCCCGTGATGGGAGCCGGCCTGACGTGGGGTTCATGCACACGGAGCACGGCAGAGGCATGATGCTCTGGGCTCTTGGGAGTTGGGGTGGTGGCCACTCTGGGCATGGGACTGGGGGGTGTCCCTGACTGAGGGGAGCAGACCCCGTGGCTCTAGGGGAAGCCACAGGTCGGGGCCGGCAGGGCTTCTAGAGCTGCCCGAGGAAGACTGGACCGTGGAGTCTGGCTCTCAGCAGGCTCTGTGCCCCTGAGGTCAAGCATCAGAGCACCGGAGGCGTCGGCCAGGGGACAGAGTGAGGTCCCGTGTCCTGCGGTGGCTCGGGTGCGGATCCAGCTGAGCAGGGCTGTCTGGGGTGTGCTGGGAAGGTGGGGCTCCTTAACTTGTTCTGAGGACCTGCCCGGGCTGTGGGCCACTCCCGGGTGATGGCCAGGGGCATGGGGGTGGCTGCTGGGAGGCTGTGTGCTGAGTGGTGAGGGCTTAGGAGGGTCCCGCCGCCCGAGGCTGGGAGCTGACACCCGATGAGGGACATCCTTGCAGGTTAGGAGACCACACCGTACATCTTAGGGCTTTGGGAGCAACCAGTGCTCGAGCGGGTACAAATGACAGTCCCGGCCCCATTCCCAAGCCACACTGTCACTTCCTTTGCAGCCTGTCTGCCCAACCCTGGCCACACTGTGGGGAGCCCGCTCTCCAAGTGGGGAAACCGAGGCCCCAAGGGGTAGCGTCGTGTTCGTGGGAGCTGCGGTTTGAACTCACTCTGGGGTCTGCACGGACCAGAGACGAGATCCCGCGGCCGAGCCATGCAGGCTGTGGCGATGTTTACCTTACGGCCGGGCGCCTGGGAGCTCAGGCCGGGGCAGGCGGGGCGGGCAGGCTGAGGTGGCCGGGCAGGGGCTGAGCTGCAGCTGGAAATTCCACCCCGACCCGCCAGACAGGCCGCTCCCCCCCAGCCGGTAAAGGAGCCGCCCGAGGGCGCCGAGGGTGCCCGTAGGTCTGGACAGGCTGTGCGGGCTCTGATTCTGAGCGGGAGGTGGGCACTGGAGGAAGAGCGGATGGGTCAGCCTCGTTGATGACCCTGTGCATCACCTACACTGGGCGGAGGGCTAACCCTGTGGGTGTCCAAGCCGACAGCCTGGGTGGGGGTCCCCGTCCTGCCTCTATCCTCTGTGTGACCCAGCAAGTCGTTCACCTCTCTGGGCCTCAGTTTCCTCACTGGGGGGTAATACACCCCCCCCCCCCCCCCGCAGCAGCTTGTTACACGGCTCCTTTCCGTCAGGTGATGCATGTCCAGGTAATGCTTTTCCAGGTAACACATGCCCAGGTGACGCGTACCCAGCCAGAAACCTGGCAGGTCGAGGGCTCGGCTAAGTGCAGATGGAGACCCCCGAGTCCGCTGCCTGCAGTCCCTCCACGAGCCCCCCCCTCTCTCGCGGCCCCAGGGGCTCACAGTGCGCTCACAGGAGCGCCTCCTCTCTTGGACAAGCACGAGTACCGCAGCTACCAAGTTCCTTTGCAAGAGGACCAGATCCCCCAGCCCCAAGCTCAGGGGAGAGGGCTCAGATTCCAGCAGGCACACACTTGCATCTTTGGACAGTTGCTCACTGTGTGGACACTTTGGGCCCACGAAGTCTTGGTGACTGCGTCCAGGGGAGGTGCCATCCAGCCCCTATGCACAGAAGAGGGTGCCGAGGCTCCGGCTGTGGCCCCGGACCTGGGCTGGGCGCTGTCAGGCTGTGCGGCAAAGCCCACCATGATGTGGGGTCTTGCCTCCTCCCGTATCTGAGTGTGTGGCCGTGGGAGCAGGGCTCCTCACCCCCTGGCCTGCTCCCCTTGTTGGGGCCGCCCCTGCTCCAGCAGGCCCCCCGGGTGCAGGACAGTTGTGCGGGTCCCCCTGCCCCCGACTCTGCCCCTTCTCTGCGGTCGCTCCTGTCTGTCTCTCCACCCACCCCTAAAACATCAACAACAGTGGTAGAAGGAGCGGGACTGCTGCCCCCGAGCATCCGCTCTGTGCTGAGTGCTGGCCCTCTGTGCGAGCCGGCCTCGAGGCAGCTCAGACGCTCCAGGGTCTCCCTCCACCCTCTCTGGGGGTCTCTGTGGTGATGGCCAACGCTTCCGCCGCAACTTTGGCCAAGTCACGTGCCTGGCTGTGCCTCAGTGTCCCCGTCCCTAAAACAGACGGTGGAGGTGGATCCTGCCCTGGGCTCCTGGAGGCACGCGAGTCCATGCCCGCTGGGGCCGTCAGGACTCCTTGCACGTGGACAGGCCGGCTGGTGGTCAGGGGCCAGCCCGGGAGCCCTGGGTGCTGGGCACCCATGTGAGCGTCACATGCAACTGCTCCCCGGATCTCACGCTCACCGTGAAGTAACTAGGACAACCCCATTTCACAGATGAGGAAGCTGAGGCTCAGAGCGACATCACCTTTCCACGGTCGCCAGCTTGCTAGGGGCGCAGCCGGGGCAGAAGCCCACAGCCTGGGCCCCCTAGCAGCCCCCGGGCCAATTCACATGCAGACAGGTATCACTGCCGGGGTGGTTCCAGTATTGCCAGACCCATAGCCCATGACACACAGGCATGCACGTGTGATGCCCACACACTCCCAGGGAGGCAACAGCGTCCTAGCAGTGTCCCGGCACATGTCGGCGTGCACCCCAACACAAAGAGGCCACGCACACGTGTGCCATCCTCGGTCACTCCCTGCACCACACGCTCAGCCCCGCACAGGCCCAGGGACGGCCGCACACGCACGTGCACACGTGTGCAAATGCACATGTAGTTGTGTACCCCTTGCACACGTGTGCACATGCACAGAGGAACAAGGCAGGTGTGCGCTTGCTTGGCGGGCTGAGGTGTTGCTCTGCGGCTCAGGTAACGGCGGGCCCTGCAACCTGACTCCTTGAGGATGGGCTGGCCCTCGGTGGCTGCGCCCTCGCTGGCTTCCACCCTGAGGCCTGGTCAGGGGAGGCTGAGCGGGACCTACGTCCCTGTTTGTCACTCTTTCAGGGGACACCGAGCCGGGGGCAGCCGAGGGCCCCACGGTGCCCAGCCCTGAGCTGGGGCCGGCTGTGCCATGTAGTCCCCTCACCCCCACGGCTGCACCCCTTTGCCCTATGAGGGTCTGGGCAGTGGGGCAGGTCCAGGATGGAGTGCCTGGCCACCGGCCCGTTCCCGGTGCCCCCGGAGCCTCACCAGACGACGACTTCCTGGTGCGGTGCTGTCAGGCGCAACCCTGCCCCTCTGCACCCTGACCCTCCACCCAGGAAACCCACCGAGCCTCCTTCCACCGCTCAGACCCTGGACTGGTGCGCGGGGCAGGGGGCTGTGCCTCTTAGCCAGTCTGCTGACCCCGGCCTCCTGCCCAGCGAGCAGCGGCTGGGGCTCCTGCCTTGGCGGCAAGCACCCCCAGGGACCCTGCCCCGCCTCCCCCACCCGGTTGTTGGAGCCCTGGGGCCCCCAGGTACTCACATGGCCCCTCGCTG